AAAAAAGGTCCTGAAAACCGACTCACGTAACTCCGTCATCGTACTTCCCCGGAATTTCGAAGGGATTTGAGCGAAAGTAAGTAAAAGTACTGAGGAAGTACACAGGGAAAATATATCAAATAATTACATTTTACCAGTTTCAAAGTGGTGAAACAATGGCCGTTTACGAAGCTGCCGCCATCGTGCGTTTTACGGCGATTTCCGTGACTTCGAAGTTTTCTGTGCAGTTCGGGGTATATACGGCTCACTGCGGAATCAAGGGGATGAGAGAGGGAGAGAGAACAGGGTAAAAAGGGATCGGGAGAGGCGAGACTGAACGCACTCACTGTATGATCGATGCCCCGGGCCATTATTACGTGCAGCCCCTTGCAAAGTATTGTTGCGAGCCCCAAACTGTGCCGACTTCGCCCAGAAGTGAGGTTAGGCACGTCAGCGGAACCACTCTCGCCAACTCGATGCATTTCCTCCCCCGTGAGAATTTCCGCGAAAAATCGACGGAGATACATCGAAGTTTGCGAAGTCTCTGGAGTAGAGGGTGGGGGTTGCGGACGTCATTTAAGGGTTCCGAAGAGACGAGGCGCCCTTAATCGAGTTTCGGTGTCGGAGGACTCGGAAGTTACATGGCTCAAGAGTCGCGTCTACTTTCGAGGTTAGGACCGGCAAGCAGGCGCGTCGGTTCGGTTCTAACCCATCTGGCACATCGTGGCCGAGAGCACCCTTCCTCTGTCTTTCTCGCTCGAAGGTGTAAAACAAAAGGGCAGCAAAGGCGAGTCGCGGGGCCACGCGGGAAGGGCGAAAACGATCGCGGCAACGAGAACGGAAACAAAAGCGACGCGGGACGATACGCAGTATGGCGGCGCTTCCGGCTCGCTCACCGCACACAATGCACTCCCTCGTGTTAACTTCTGTGCTTGCTTGCTCGTGCTCTCTGTCTCTGTTTGGCTCACTTTTCCTCTACCGAACGCGCCCTCCGTCTCTCTTTTCCGTCCTCCTCCTCTCGAGTTATGTCCCTCTCCTTTCGCGAGGTGGTGCAACTCGCGCGCGCCGTCCTCGTCGGGCGCGGTGCGCGCGCATCGGGCCCTCTCTCTCCCACTGGTCGGACGCTTTGCACTCGGCGACGCGTTTCTATGACGCGACGCGTTACTTAAGCCGCGTTCTTACGGCTGCCGCCCACCGGTATTAGCTCCGCTCCCGGATACGCGCAACGCTCGCGCCCTCTGCCCCCGGCGTCCATCTTTGTTTCCCCACAGGCACTAGCCGATATTAAAAAGAGACTCGCTTTGGAGGTCCAACGGCGAGGAAACGGAACTCGAGGCCAGAGAGTGTTTTAAGAAATTAGTCCTCGCGCTTTCACCAGGAAACAAGATGGCGCCGCCATTATCACTGCGCCATTAATCCACTCCTCGTTTTTTACGGAGAACCTTCAGTCCGTCACAAAAAGTACTTTTCACCCTTGGACCCGGCGCATGACTATTCGACTTCTCCCCGCTCGTTTGCGCGTCTGCAGGTTTCCCTGCATTCGCCGCGGCCATTTTGGAAAGCGCGCGAACTGAAGACGAATGTCGAACGAAGACGCACCGGCGAAGAGCTTTCTTAAGTCTCAAGAGAAAGGCCTCTCTTCGAAAGGCGAAGAAGAGAGTCCAGGTGAAGGTCCCGCGACTTTCGAGGATCCTGCCTAAGAGGCAAAAAGCGGCTCTTCTCGGGGGAAATTCTCGCAGAAAAAGTGACGCAACGGACGGGCGGTCTCCTTCGAAGGACATTTTGAGAAAAAATGGGGTTAATCTCGCGTTAATCCCCACTGAGCGGATCCTTAAGCTCAGGGAAAACAAGCCTCGACGATGGCACACAAAAGTGCGCCATGAAGGCTGCGAAATTGGGGGTTGCATGGTTTGCGCCCCTTGGAACCACCCTTACGGTCGGTCCTCGGTGTCGGGGTGGTCAAAGTTTCGGGACGGGCCTTTATGGGTCGTGTCCTCTATTTTGCCAATGCGAGGACTACCGACTGGGAACCGGAAACCCCCCTCAGCGATCGATCAAGCGATCGACGGGGGAGTTACCCCTCGAACATGGCTGCTACTTCAATTGTAGAAATTATCTGAAATTGCCTTAAAATATGTCAACGAAACGTTAAAAACTAATATACCATTTATTCCTACGATCCTTTATACCCTTTTATATCTAAGTATCCTGTCGATCGTTCATCCCTTCCACCCAGACAGCTGTTTATTTACAACCCCATCTATCTGTGGGCAGCATTGGGGGTAGTTTCGCAATAGTTAGGCAGCGCTTGACACCGACACGCTGACCCACATTGGGAAAGGGTTGGCCGTGATCGATCGGAAGATCGATGGAAATTTACGAGCTGGTGCAACCCCTTCGACAATGTCGACCTTTACCGTCAACCCCTTCGGGCCTCGGTCGAGGTGGGGGTTGCAGGCGTTACGCCGAATTGACGCGCGTCTTTTGCGCGAAAATCGGTGAAACGAGCCTCCTCGGCCTGGCAATAAATCTCGATTCACCCTCCAGCAGCCCCGAATTTTCCTTTTCGAGGGAAAAGGAAGCCACCCCTTCACGAAGTGCCCCCAGCCCCCGAGCCATTGACGCGAAAGACCTGTCTAAATATTGCCGATCGACTTTTCCTAACCTCCTTTCGGCTTCACTTTCCAAAACGGTCCCTTTTTGGAGCCTCCCTAATAAAGGCCGAAATTTCTAGTCGCAAGTATTGTCTTATTAATTTCCCTTGAATTTAAGGTGAATTTCCAGCCATTATGGAAGAATTTCATTGCTCAACCCTTACGCATCGGGGCCTTCCCTGGAAGTCCCCAATTTTTGTCACTAGGCATTTAATGTGCAAAAAAGGAAACAGGTAAAACCATTTTCCAAACCAGGAAATCCCACTGTGGAGGGTCTAATAGAGTTCAGTCCTTTATTGTTAAAATGTGGTCATAGAGTCCGTTAATCCCTTTCATTGTTCAGGGATTAAAAGTTCCCGGCCGAAATGACCGATTAATGTATGGCAACGATTTTCTGTTTTTGACAATAGCCCGAAACGACCGTATTGTCGGCGAAACCGAGCACAGGTAAGAAAAGCAAGTACTCGAAACGGGAAATTCGGTCGTTAAATCCGAACCGTAGATAAAGTGGTATAGAGATCTGCACACCTGTTTACATAAAACACGTACACCTGCAGATATGTAAAGGGCGAATCGGCTTCGACCACCCTTCGGTACATGCGCGAATCGCCAAGGGATGCATTCCCGCGAAACGCGTATTTTTTCTCACTTAACTGGGGACAAAAAATGGCCGGGGAGAAATCACAAGAATTTAGATCGGAGAAATTTGTAGGCTCTGCCGGCTGTAAATATACCACCGGTTACAGGCACAAGTAAGTCGACACAATGCGCATTTTCCACCCCTGGGGCCTTTGAAATTCTCTACGAGTGTATGTAAAATACACGATTTTCAAACACCCCCAACGCACCGTTGCAACATTATACCCGGGTAATAAACACGAGCGGAAAATTACGCGGAAGAAAGGTGTACATTTTAAAATGTTTATCCAGCCTTAATTCCATAAATTCGGACTGCGTTTGCAATGCCCGTTAAAAGTTAGCGTTCGTCCGCTGGCAACGCCCTTATTTGCGAATTACAGGGTAGAAGTCGGCATTCATCCTGGCGCCGTTAAAAAACACCTTGCGATAAATCTCCGCAGCATCCATCAGCTGCCAATCGTGTGAATCAGGAAGTGGAATCGGTTGAAGAAAAAAAAAAAATCTCCGTATAAACGATCGATTCGATGATCCTCGAAGTAAGCATACAAGCATGCATCATGCGGAGCAAAAACCCCCAAAAAATCGGCGACATGAACGTGTGACATGTACATATCAAAAAGTCGAAACGTTTATAAAACTTTTCTCCAAACTGGGTGGACGAAATTATAACAAAAACATTAACACAGGATTATGGAGGCTCTAGGGAAGAACGCGCTGCCCGTGAGATTTCATTTTTCGAAAAAAGAAAAATACTTTTTTTTTTTCGTTCTTGTCCAAGATAAGTAGTTTCTTTTTTCCTTGAAAAAAGAAATTTCATGAGCAGCGCGTTACTCGTTGCGGCCTCCGTAATCGCGGGTCAAGGTTTCAGATAATTCGCTGCACCCAGTTTGGAGAAAAGTTTTATAAATATTTTCATTTTTTCTTATTTATTATTTATATCACACTTTCATATCACCTTAAAGTGGCCATATTCGCGCAATCGTGGGCGCGAGCATCGGCAGGGCGTCGAACACATTCGCGATAGGCGTCGTAACCAGGTGGAGGTGTGTAGGTCGACACAGGTAGAGGTGTAGGGGTGGCCCGGCAAACGCGGCTGGTAAGTCGCTAGGTGGGGTAGGTGCACCCTCGGGTACGGCAGCGCTCTCCGTCGTCTCTTCGCCCTCTTCGTCGCCCTCTTGGGCAGCCCTCGGCTCGCAAGCAACCCCTAAGCCTGGTTAGGGGCGAAGGCGGCGAGCCGCGGAGGCCACAACACGACCGCCGTCCTCATTGGTCGGCGCGTCGCTCCTGGGAGGGGCCCCGGAAAAATTGGTGGGGAGAAAAATCCCCTCTAAATAGCTGCAGCTGCACTCGGGAAAAACTAGAATCCGCTCAGCCGGCACCGAGGACGCGTCGCGCCGACCGAGCCTCGCCACCTAACCTGACGACTCTCTCTCTCTCTGTCGCGAGAGCGCGCGCGCGCTCGCTCGTCCTCGCCTGGATTTTCGAAAAATCTGCGCACAGTAGTCGCGCCCCGCGAAGTCGACGCACGGAGTCCGTCGAGGATTTTTCGCCCCTCGGGACCGCAGGTGGATATCAAAGTGCGGAGGTGCGAGGAAGGAGACCGACGATCGGCGATTGTGAAGTGTCGCGGGTTCCCGATTGGCCGTTTCCGCTGGGCCGGTCCAACGGAAAGCGAGTCGCGCTCGGCGGACATTTTGGTCCCGCGGTGGAAAGGTCTGGACCGCGAGGATGCACCTCCCGGAGGGACCCATCGGGATGGAGAGCTTCGGCGCCATCCACGACACCTTGAGGGCATGCCACGGCGACCTCGTGCAGACCGGAAGTCCCGCCATCCTGTGCAGCGCCTTGCCTTCCCACTGGCGGTCCAACAAGTCTCTGCCCGTGGCCTTCAAGGTCGTCGCCCTCGACGAGGTCACCGACGGCACCCTCGTCACCATCCGCGCCGGCAACGACGAGAACTGCTGCGGCGAGCTGCGCAACTGCACCGCCATAATGAAGAACCAGGTCGCCAAGTTCAATGACCTCAGATTCGTCGGCAGGAGCGGAAGAGGTGAGGCCCTCCGCCACTTCCGGTGGTCTCGGGAACCCCGAGGAACCCTTTCCCTCAGATTTCTCCACTTCCCCATCTCGGTATCTTGCCACCGACGACTGACTTTCGACCTCGCTCCGGCTTTTCTAACCGTTCGCTTTGTTGGAAATGTCTTGGCTCATCTGTAGAGAATTTTTAAAGTCGAAACACGTCAAAGTCAAAAGAGTCGGCGGCGCCAAAAATGAGGATAATCAGATAGACTCGCGGTTCGATTAAGAAGCGATACCCTCGAAACCGGGCTCCTCTATTTGGTCTCGCAGTTTAGATTCAGAATTTTAGTCGTGGTAGTTTTTCAAAGTGTTTTGGAAATCCAAAAATTCGGCGAGATGGATACTCGGGTTTTTTGGGGCTGCGCGCATAATGGGTGGACGGTAGATGTTGGAAATAGTCGATGCGGAATGATTAGCTTCTTCGGGGAAACCCTTTCTATGTTCTTTCTGAATCTCGCCCAGGAACATAGTTATTAATTAGAACGTTTTCTCGATGGTTTCAGGAAAGTCGTTTTCGCTGACCATTCAAATAAGCACGGTGCCTTTCCAAGTGGCGACATACTCCAAAGCCATCAAGGTGACGGTCGACGGGCCCAGGGAACCCAGGTCCAAGTCGAGTAAGTATTTCTGCATTTTGCTGAAATTATTTCCGCATATCCTCCCCCTAAATTGACAATGCAAGAGGACGTCAAAATCTAATACAATACTTCCTTGGAATATTAATCGAAAGCAAAGTCATTGCGCCGATAGTTCGTCTTGTTCGTTGGGGGTGTAACGTTCATCGGAGCTCGATCTAGATTCCGCCATTTTGCAGAAAAGTGGACCTCGGAGTTAATTAACGGCGATTTTTGAGATGCGCATGTCCTGTTTTTATTTGGACCATTAAAAAGGAAGTGGTTCCCTCGAAAGTCGGAAGTACATCCGGTGCCAGCGCGGCGGTCAACCGGAATGACGGAACCAATGGCGAACCCGCGAACGGGCGTCGGGTAGCGTCGGGACGCTTCATAATTTGGCCCGTGGTCGGCTGAATTTGAAATTCGAAATTTACCGGTGAACTCGGCGCAATTTCATATTTCTCGCTTCCTTTGCTGACAATTTTGACATTTGCGCTCGATTCCACCCTCCACTTTTCGATGCTCACTGTGTTCCCTCTTTCTATCGGAATCCCAAATTCCCTGTAATAACGAAGGGTAGGCAGCCCTTTTTGCCCTACTAGCTGTTAAAAGATATCCAGAATATAAAGAATCTACATCTCATTTCCCCAATATGTAATATAGACAAATTTTCAAGTAAACCTTTGGGAGATTGTTATCTCCACCTTCGGGAAGTACAGAATATCTCGAAGACTAACCATAAAAATGCCATCCAGGTTCAATGGGAGAGATTAGATCACATTAGGTTAGCTTTACGCATTCACATTTTTTTCTCTTTCTTTTCCGTCATACACCACGAAATCGGTTGTAGGATTAAACGCTTTATCGTTATAAAGAAAATGATTAATCATTCTCTTAGAAGAGGTTCGATCTACATAAAGGCCTTTACGGATACCCAGCGTAGACGTAGACTTTGAAATCTGGCAATTCGAATTGCCGAAAACCGAATATATATGTCGTCGATGGGGAATTTGATTGGGTAATTCTTACTGTAAACTCGCGACTATTACGCGAGGTATCTGTGAAGGTGTCAAAATAGTATACCAGACTAGGAGCGAGCAAGTTAAATCGTCGAAACTCGGAAAGTCCATTGGAGTCCGGAGGAACGGTCGCCGGGAGTCGCGGGGCCAATGGCGAATCCGCAAACGGGCGTCGGTAGCGTCGCGGCGTTTAATAATCTGGCGTATAGTCGGCGGACCTCAAACCGCCGGAGCGCCGCGGCGGTCAGAAGAGGGAACGCCGGTTGGCCGCCTCACTCCCTCGGGTGGTAGTGTCTCTCTCTCGGGTTTTCCCTCCCTCTCCGTCTCTCCACAGAGACCTCGTATATCCGCGTCTCTCTCGCTCCCTGCCGCGAAACAGCGGTCAGCGCTCTCATCCATCTCGGAAGCCAGGCACTCGGCTTCTCTCTCTTCCGAGGTTCTTTAAGCCGCGCCTGAGATGCAGCGTCTCCCTCGCTCCGATCCCGCTTCTGCCCGCGGCCGCTAGATGGCAGCGCGCGCTGACGTCTCTGTTCCTCGTGAGCACGTCTTGGCACGGGTTCAAGCCGCACGTGGCGGTGTCGCGCTTGTTTTCCTAAAGGCGGCTTTCCATTGGTCGACGGCCACTTGGGTCGTTTGTTTATTGGCACGCCGCAGCGCCTCCGTTTTATCCAACGAATCGCTCTCCCTTTTTGCTCCCCTTTAGTGCCGGGGAAACAATTATCGCCCGCTGTGGAGTTTCCGTCGCGCTTTCCACTCCTATAAGTCCCTGTTAGTTTCCAAGTGCGTTGTCCGAAGATCTCGAAGTTGCAAGACGACGGGAGATGGCGCTGAGGGTTGAGTTTCTCGTAAACGCACGTCGGTCAGGAGCTGATCCGCTGCGGTGGATCACGCAGCGGCGTCCGTTTGGACCCGCGCTTGTTTTCCCAACGGCGCGCTCCGATTGGTCCCCGGCCACTTGGGTCGTTTGTTTATTGGTCGGCACGCCCGAAAGAGACGCGCGGCGTCCAAAGGAGCCGCTTTATGCGTTTGTTTATCGCGTCGCATATGGCGGCCCCATGTGCGCTTCTCGCGCGCATTAATGCACGCGGACCGAGCTCGGATAAACACCGCCCGCGAGCCGATACCGGCCGCGAGTTAGGTTAGGTTATCCCGCCCGGGATGCGACTTTACGACGGCTTTAACTTCTTTACGGGTTTGCCAGTTCGTTACATGAGAAACTATTCATAGAGGGTCTCTCGCGGTATCGGAAATAAAACCGGGGTATAGTCTCGCGCTTTCGATTCCTTTCCGTATGGATTTTGTGCGTCCATTCCGCTAGCTTATAGTATCCAATATGGCCGCGAAACGTCCGAGGCGCCGTTCTGCGGAGCCCTTGTAAAAATGGATGCCTGTTTGTGTTTCAGATTACCAGTATGGGCCAGGATTCCCCGGACTGGGACTACTAAATCCGTGGATCGACGCGGCCTACCTCGGGCACGCTTGGCACCTACCGCATCCGGCCTTGGTGAAAGGTGAGGGTCCATTGACGAGAACCTAACCTTAAAGTCGGCCCTAGTAGGCACGCGATATCGATTAGTGATGCCAGAAACGTTACGATGATTCATGCGCTGGACCGAGGGAGAGCTCCCTTTTCTCACCGACCACCCTCTCGTGGAATAACAATGCGACTTAACCCCTAACCAAAACTGTACGTCCCGATGTCGGCCCTCCAACAGTTCCCAACATGGCCGCGCGTTCGCTCCGCATTTCCGTACAATTTTGAAAACACTCCGCAAGTCCTGTATATCGACCGGCGGATAAAATAATCATTTCCACCGTACTCTAAACTTTTAGTGCCTCTCGGGTCTTAACAATCAACGTTCGCGCGTCGTCGCGCCGCGCAAGCCCTTTGTTTGCAATCCGAATTGGATTTCTATTTGATATTGATTCATCGATATGCGCGTTGACCGGGTTTCGAATGGATGGCCTTTGTCGTTAATCTAATTACCAGAAAAAAATAGACTATTCGCCTCAATGCTGCCCATCAATTGGACGGATTTAGCACGACCGCCTTTTAACACCAATCCAATTTCTATTCGAAACAACCAGATCCATTAATCTAGGACTTTTGGGCGATGGTCCAGCGCTCTTCACTTGTCGATTCCGAATCTCTCTCCATATTTCCTGTTGTACAATGTATCGTTATTCTGATTTCAGGCTCGATGTCCATGCCACCAGCGGACCTGTTCACGCCTAGTTTCGCGCCAACGGTGCTAACGTCGGGTTGCCACTTTGGCGAGCACGTCAAGTACCCGATGGACTACCCGATGCCACCAAAGATCCCCACGGCGACCATCCCGACCAGTCCATCCAGAAGCCCGGCAAGAAGTCCGAGCGAAAGTGGCAGCGAATCCGCCGCCGAGGAGGTTAGGAGTGCCTTCGTGCCGATCCGCCTAAACACCCTGCCAGTATCGACAACGACGGTGCCATCCTCGTCGTCGCCGGAGAGGACTACTCCCCGGAAGCCGACGGAAGGCACCAGAAACGAACTGAAGGCGCCACCGGCGCTCATCTCGCAAAGGCCCCTGACGAAGAGTCCCACCTCGACGAAGCTGGCGTCGCCTCCGCCTGCAAAACCCGTCTGGAGGCCGTACTGAATCCCCAAAACCCTTCAGACGTCCTGAACCAGGACAGTCATCGAAAAATATCGAAAAGGAAGGCTAGTGTTCCCTGGAAATGGGTGTCTAGAAACCAGCAGTCATCGGCATCTCCATCGGATGAGCTCTTCGGTTTTACGAGGAGTCTCCTTCCATTGGCCGCCGCCAGAGGCGCCGCGGGTGCCAACGGCAAGTCTCTCAGTGCTTGGTTCTGGATAAACCGAGTGGAGTTCCCGAACGCAATTCCAGCGCGATTCCGTCCCCGGAATCGCGACGGCTATGATCGATGCAAATCGTTCGCAAACGATTTTGCGGAGAAGTCCACGAGGTCGGGAGATATCCACCTCCGTGGACGGCGGATTGGTTCCCGTGGTCATCGCCAGAGGCGCCGAGAGCGCCACAGAGGACATTCCAATTACCCCACGCAACTCGGCGATTTGAAGCAGATCATTGTCGGTTCCCATTGGTCATTTCCCGTGGATTCGACCGATACCGTCCCGGCTTCCGAGAAGTACACGCAATTGAGGAGCCGGTATCGGTCGCAGCGTCCACGGATAGGAGCAAGGCCATTGAAATCGACTCTGTGCGGCTTTACTCTACTTCGGTGTACACGGTTTCTCGCGTGTACGCCCTTACTGTATATTACTTCCATTGTACGGATTTAATTTGGGATCCCCCCGGTTAATACCCGCAGCTGTCGATGGGAGCGCTCGGAGCGCCACGGTCCAGCGAAGTGCAAGACACGCTTCGCTGGCCGGGCTTTCCAATTACCCGACACAGCTCCGCAGTTTTAGGCGCGAAGCGCGGTCGTTTATCATTGGCCGTTTCCCCTGGATCCAGCCGGGGGCGATTCCACGGGTCCGTGAAAAGTCGAGCACGGGATTGGAGAGTCCACTTCCAGGGATTCCGGGATTAATTCTCGCGGCCACCGCCTGCCTGGCGCTGAAAGCGCCCCGATCATTGCCCCTTTCTATGTACATTCTCCCCCTCTGTACGATACTCGCTGTAAATTCTTCATTCTTGTACATACTCAACATATTCGGGCGTAGCGGGTGAATCTCGATGGCGAGGGTCGAGCGGAAATCTGTCGAAACGTCTACCTGTACATAATCACCCTGTAAATTCCCCGCTGTACATAACCTCCCCGGAGGCGCGGTGCACATACTTGTACATACTTCTAGACAATAACGGTAGTCATAGGAGAGAGTCGCAGAGCGAGTGGGACTGCGTGAATGCGCTATTTATAAGTCAGAGATTTAATTTAACGTAATAGGAACAAAGTCACGTGGAGCGAAGCAGAGAGTCTATGGAGAGAGCTGGGGAGACATAAATATATATAGANAATGAATTCTATGTCATATATACGAAACGGCGTTTTGTTTTCCCGGCGTTTCCCAACTCCCCCCGGAGAGAGAAAGAACGGACCGGGCACGATGGCGGACGCACAGAGGCTGGGGAATTTAATCGGACGACTCTTCTGGGGTCCCTAGACTCCGCGCGGTGCATTTATGCCCGGGATCGCGGAGTCTATCCGGTGCCACCGGGCCGAGTGGAGCTCGACTCCGTGACAAGCTGCTAGGGGATTTATATTTCTTCCCTCCGCGCCTCCCTTCTTCCTCCTTTTTTCTTCTCTCGTCGCGATTTAAATCTGAATGGCTGTACGCCATGGTCGTTCCACGCCGGCCTGCGGTGTATGGGTCCCCGTACGGGGGATGGGAATGGTTTATATCGAGGGGAGTACGTGAGATCTGTATTAGTACCTATAGGCCTTTATGTCCAGCCGGGGTTCTCATTCCACCCTTCTCCACCCTTCTTTGTACCCTTCTCGCGGAGTGAACGATTCCTCCATTTTCCTCGGATTTCCTTTCCGCCGGGAATATTTTGCACATCTCAAACGATGACTCGGAAGCAGACAGCGATTGCCAGTGGATGTCAATCGCGTTCCCTGTTAATAAATTCCCCATAATTGGTATAAACTCAATTGGATCACCTATTTACTATTATTACCCTACTCCGCCATTAATTCCCATTAATTCTGTATTTAATTTCTTCTCGTCGAGTTATTCTTTAAGACGAAGGTAAAATGTTGGCTCCGGGACTGGACCGTGGAATTGAGAACCACGTTGACACCCCGTAGCCCTGGGGTTGTTCGTTGACGAGTAGACAACGGAACCAAGCAACCATGAAGGGTCCCCACGTGACCCGAACCTATCCGGGCCAATCCGGACGTGTGCGCGCGCACGTCCGCTAACTAATGTTTGTCCAAAAAATCGCCTCAGCGTAATTGGCTCCGGGACGGGAAAAATCAGCATGGCTAGGCCACTCTGCAAACGGGGAGTCATCGGCGTACCGAAAAGGACCGTCGAAAAAATACATCCGACGTACATTTCTTTTTTATTTTTTTTTCTCTTTTCTTTTTTTCTTAAGACATCAAAATAAGGGTCTGAGAAACTCGGTGCTTTTCTCCCATCTCCCCCACTGACGCTGATCGTGCCGCCATTTTTATTTTATTTTCTTTCGACCAACAGGTGAATCCGTTACACCTGCGATTAGGACGGTTGTCTGATTCATTAAGTGGGAAAGAGTGGAATAAAAAGTCGGATGTCGGTTGGACGTCCGAAAATCGGATTGGACGGTATGAAAAATCCCGAGGTTAGGTCGGAACGGTAGAATCGATCGGTTCAATCGATGATCGGTCGTAGTGACCAGTCCGGGGTTGAGGGTCCTAGAATTAGGCAATCAGCGCTGATGAGGGGTGGTCCAGAGTGTGGAGAGGCTAGGGGCGAGTTCGGACAATTAGTGACCCTACCCTCCCACTCCTGACATCCCTGAGCACGCATTCGACCGCGGTTTACGCATGCGAAAGAGAACGTTACAAGCACGGATTGCGAGCCTACACTCTCGATCGTGGCGCGCTCTCTGACGTCACAGTGCTCCCAATCTGCGCGACTATTTACTTTTCAGCTAGATAAATAATTTTCCAACCCTCCCCCCACAGAATCGGCACTTAAGCAATCACTCATTTACATGGAATTAACCTAAAAGAAAAAAAAAGAGAACAACTCAACAAATTGTCCGCCGCGGATGAGCGGCCATATTGAGCGCTGCGTTAAATAATTATATTCGTTGTCTAATGGATTAGTTCGAGGTAGTAGAAAATAAGAGGAACGGGGTTGTATGGACGTTACGAATTTGGCCTCGTAAAAACGTATGTCGATGGGGCGTTTGGGAACCGCTGGGGGTTGACAAGGATTTCCAGCATCCGGAGGGGGTATCGCGGTTGAGAAAACCTTGGAAAATAATAAGCCACTTCCCGAGGACTTTCTTCATCCCCTCCGAGTGGCCAGGGGAGGGTAAGGATGGCTGGGCGGAAATCCAGGCGATATCAGTTTTTCACGGAGGGTCGCGCGACCTCGTGCCGAGTGTCTATGGCCGAGGGTGGCGGCGACCTTAAGTCCTTAACGAGCCGATTTGCATACCCAATGAGGCATCGAGTGACATCGACCTCGTTATCGGGGATCGATCCCTCTTTGAGCCGGCTTTAAGGCGCGACTGCTCCCCAAATCGATCGACTTTCGATTCCCCAACGACGGCCTTTCCCCATTTTTCGGATCTTTCTACCCGCGGTGTCCTTGCGTAACACTTGCTACGATTCGGCATTTAATTTCGAACAGTTATTTTATACGAGGTCGGTCTATAATACTGGCCGATAAGACCGGATTACCGTTCGCGTCGTCGAGGGGCCGACAGTAAACCGCGGAAAAGCATCGGCTCGGCAAATAAAACCGCAGTATAACCCCGGAAACCGGTGGTAATTCTGCAGGGAAATTCGGGGTTGCAGGCCCCTCCGAAAGGTGTGTCCCGGTTTTTGGCGGGCCGTAGGGCCCTTTTATGGGGACAATTTGATGCTAGGCTGCGATTTTACGATAGGGTTTCTTTTAGGCCGGCACTACTCCCTACCGTTCTTATAAGGACGGGACTGAGGTGAACCTTGCGGTCGTTGCATGGCGAAAGCGGAATACAGCTTTATGGGCTTCGTTTTATAACAACTGGGCAAAAGGAGTCCTCGGTCCGCAGGAGGTCCCAAAGGAACCCCCCGACCTTCTCGCCGGGACAGTAATTAGACCTGAGGGACCCAAAGTCTCTGATGCGGTGCCTACGTACTGTTATGCAGGATACTATTAACAACCCCTGCAATATTTACGGGATATTACCTTTCCGCCGGTTTGGAATTTCTCTACGCCGTGGAATCGAACGCTACTACGCTCTTTGGAAGGTGACGTTAAAAGGAAGGACGCGAAGCGTACGTTGAAGAGATTGACAGAGGGTGGAGGGGCGCGAAAGTTTAGCCTTTTAAATCGTAAGTGCCAGCGGCGTCATTTAGGATCGCGAAAATGGCGGAGTTCCTCATTGATTCTACCATAATGGCGGACCGGGATTCTTTTGGTCGTTTCGCGCCTCGGGTCCTAACGACGCCCTGGCGCACCGTCGACGCCGACAGAACTCATCACCGGGGAGGAAGTGGACACGTCGGAACAATTTCCTTACACCGGCACCCCGTTTGCTCCGGGGTTGCTCCGCTGGACCCTCAGCGATTGACCAATTTGCCAAATCGATTCGCACACGGAATCAACTTCTCTAATTTTCCGGGCTCCGAGAGTCGCCAGCGTGCGCGCCATCTTGGAATCGGTCCGAAGAATCTTAATTAAATCTACCCAAGTAAATGCAGTTATACACTTGAGTATTTCTGAAGATGAAAACGAGTTACGCAATTATGATGGGAACCTATTTGCCATATTGTTTAACGTATTAAGTATACATATCATAGAATCAAACCGAAGAATATTATTAAATCTACCCAAGTAATGGTAATTATTAACTTAAGTATTCCTGAAAATAAAGATGAATTACGAAATTATGATCGAAAGAAATAGATCGGGGCGTCATTTTGTTTTACGTATTGTTAAGTATGCATCGCGGGCAAAACATTATTTTCGGAC